AAAAACCCATTCTTTTCCTTGTAAAAATCGAAACTTTCCGTCGAATTTTTGACATTAGGGCTTCGTTCGGCACGAAGAACTAGTATGGTAAGTAGAAGCACCATGTCTGTTTTGTTTTCTCGTCTTCTTCTCTACTTTCGTTGTGCTTCTCGGGGTTTTTTTTTGTCCACCAATTTTGCTTCTTCGGTTCCGTAATTCGCAAGCAAAGGTTGTTTCAGAGATTCGTCTTTCGATTTTATGAAAGTATTGTTCTTTCTTATGAACGAACTGATTTACGGGTTTATCTGCATTTTGTTATCATGCGTTTAGTACTGTACCGAAATGGGTTTTTGGGGGTAGTGTAAGGTTTTTAATCTAGGGTTTCTAGTTTTGGATAATTTTTCTAATAAACACGCAATTTCAATCAGAATCCTTGGCTTTTAGCTAATTTTTGTTTTTTGTTGGAGGGTTGCTAATTTCTTCCATGGAGTGTAAATGCGAAATTAATTAATGTATTGATCAATTCGGTTATGGACTTTTGTTTTGATTTGAGTTGCAATCATGTTTGCTTTTAGTTACTGTAATGATTAATGATTTTCCTTTTTGATTCCCCTGGAGATTGATTTTTGTTCTTAGTGAGCTTTTTCTCTCTTGTTTGAAATACTCGGATTTGATCTACTGTGCATGTGTATGTAAATTAAAAGATGTTCTTTTTTTTTAACATGGGTTCTGGCTTGATCATGGCTTCTCTTTGATGAGTTACTGTCATATTTGATTTACTCTCTTGCTCAATGGTTTTCATTTTTGGAGCCTGTTGTTTTAAAATACTTGATTTACATGTTTATACATCACATGCCAGTGATCCGAGCAACTTGAATTGAAATTTAGCTTCACCTGAGGTAATGAGTCTTTACAATGTTTTCATTTAGAGGACGAACAATGCAACAACTTTAGAAGTGTTGAGGAATAAAAAACTTAGTCTGTAACAGTAGTCAATGAGGAACAATAGAGCTGTAAAAAATGCATGCCGATATCGTTATGGCTTGTATATGACTCTTGATCATTGTCTTTAGGTTGTATTGATGTGTTCTACTCCTGTCTGTTTTATTACTTTACAAATATCACAATTATTGTAGAGGTCAATAATTGATGAGTAACTATTCATCCTTTTTTGCTTGCTGATGATTCTCTTTTACTGCAATTATTGTAGAGGTCAATTTGCGGAACATGTGGAAGCCAAGGATGGAAAAGACTACTTGTTACTTGCTCTAAATGCCGTATAGCCTGTGAACACCGGTGAGCAGTTATATCATATGTTCTTCCTGTTTCCTAATCTGCCCTGAGTGTTGCTGTCTATTTTGACATATACGTACAAGCTTGTGGGATTACTTTCCTATCTCAGTTATATGATATTCTACTTTTAGCTTTAGAAAAGGCGGTTTATTTACTGATGGTATGTGAAGGTTGCGGGTACGATCCACGCTCACGGCACTAACTGTTAGATTTGGGCCTAAAAACACCGTAAAAGCCCAGTGAGTAGAACTCATCCTCGAACGATAGCTTGCGATGAGAGGGTGCCGTTGATAGTCATTTACTATTCCGTCCTCTTGCCGATTTGGATATTATCGTGATACTTAGTAACTTAATCTTCCAAATGTGGATATCAATTCTTCTCCTTAGAACTCTTATCTCATATGACATATCTAATTGTTTGCTTACCTGGTCAAATGTATCTTTTGATTGTCTTTACCTAACCCTCATTCTTTTGTTCTTATCTTTGTTGTCCAGTTACTGCATGAAGGAACATTCATTTGAGACATCAATAGGTTTTGTATGTGCTGATTGTTCGATGAGACCTGTTCAAAACAGCTTCGCTTCAAAGTCGCCCAATGCAGCCCCTCAAAGTCATAGGAACAAAGTGCGGGTTGAATCTTCAAATCCAGTTCCCAGATGGAAGAAAATTCCTGAAACATCAAGAATGAAGTTAATTTCTCCAGAGGAAGTTAGAAAACTTTCTTGTGGAGGCAGTAAGCCAACTTTTAAAGTACCAAGACCTGTTCCAGCTCGCTCTCCGATAGGTTTAACAAAACAAAATGTTTGTTTTCCAAGAGCTAGGAGTCTGTATTCTACAGTTGTGGCTAAAAAAACCACTCCAATTCCCCTTTCACCTAAAAAGGTTGAGCATCGTAGTCCGCATACTTTGCAGATTCGTTCAGGAGTCATACGACAAGCTTCTAATGCACAAGTAGTAGTAGAAGGTGCTGTATCTTTTGCCTTTTTCTGTTTTTCCTCTATTTCCTTTCTAATGGCCTAAGAAGCTAAACTTCTTTCACTGGATGACTATAAACATTTATTGCTGCTTTGGTGTTTTTTGGCTTTTCAAGGGTCAAAATCGAAAGTTGGTGGTGGAGCCAAAGATCTTGGTTCAAAAGAGATATGCCGATCAATCTTATCAGAAAAATTGTTGCAATTACTTCCATATCGACCAGCTTTGCACACCACTTGGAAGTAAGTTGCAGATCACTTCACACACTATGTCATATTTTGCCCAGATGTGTGTTTGTTAGCAGCTTCAATCAGATCACTCTGTATTGTCAAAATGTTACCATTACTCTGTTTAAATTACCCTTTCATGTTTTCTCGTTGTACTTAGTCTTATATGCAATCTTAAAAAGAAATCTCCTTAATTTTCTAATATTAGGCTTTGTTACATTTCTGAAAAATGTGCATATTTTTTATAACTTTTTCTTTCACTAAACCAGGGGACGCATTGTGGATTCTGCTACACCATCAGCGTTTAGCGGCGAGTACTTGGCTCAACCAGCTTCTGAAATCCGTGGGAAGGCGTACAAGCTTTCAAAGATGATTCCTGTCATACTCAAGGTCGAATTGGTTCCTATAGGCAATCTTTTGAATGATTTGTTTGTGAACAGAAACCCAGCGCTTACAGATGTCGAGATGTACATTTTCCCAGATAACAAGAACACAAAAAGGTACTCAAGCCTCCTTTTTCCTACAAAGGGCAAGCTTGTTATGTTATTGTTATCACAAAACTTATGATTCTTGCAGGTTTAAGGAGGAACATGTTCATCTCTTTGAGATCATGAAGGCTCGCAATGCCATGATCAGAATCAACATCAAGGACACACCATTGTTGATATTCTCTTCGAAACAACTGGACAAGTCCTCCCAGAGTAAGAGCCTAATGTATTTTTGGTGTTTTGTTTTTCCATTGGCTTTAAGAATGAATAACATCCTGTTTTGTGTGGGAAGATATCATTCAGATGCAGAAGAAAACAAATAACTTTCTTTGGGGGATTTTTCTCGTGACGAAAAAGGCATTAGCACTTGTTCCCGGGACTTCCAATCAAACTGCTAAACATTCTGATGATGGAGATGTGGTTGACAATGGCACTAAAGTAAGGGCTATATTCCCTTATTTTTTCTAAAGTAAAGACCCTTTAGAAAG